CTGGGATCATGACCTGAGCCGAAGGCAGACGTTTAATGACTGAGCCACCCAGGCCACCCCTGTTCTTTAGTGTTAATATGACATGGTACAATATCCAAAAAAGTGGTACTTAAGTATTCTTTGGAGGCAGTACTGTTTTAGAATTTTAACAATAGCTGTAGATTCTCTCAGCTGAAAACTTAACACATACATAAAATTTATACACAATTTCATCCTATACTTACATTCCCCCACTCTACCAAGCTAAGAAACTAGTGAAAAATTTACAGTGTTACATGAAAGTATCTACCTTTTCTTTTATTCTTTGCCTTGTTTCAGAAAGGATTTATGATGCCTTAATTAAGATGCAAATAAAATAAAGCAAAATAAATCAAATTAAAGCAAATAAGAAAATGAGGAAAAGGGAAAATAAGATTAAGAAGATTAATCTAGAACCAAGATTTAGGTTAATATGACAAATTTATGCCACCAAACTTTTGGTATTTGCGAAAGCTATTACATTTTGTGTATTTATAACATTTTTAAACTTCAGTAAATTCTTGCCAAATACCAGGAAATATGTGATCATATTTTTGCTTAAGCTACAAATTAGAAGCATTAATTGAAGACTACAAGATAATTTTTTAAATGAAAACAAAGTCTTGGAACCTCTTGAATAGGTTATAGTCATTACCCATATAATAAGCGAAATCTGTTCTACAGACTTTTCAAATAGCTTACATCGGGATAGGCAAACTGCATCTGGCCCACCTCTTGTGTTTGTAATAATGTTACACACAGCCACACCCATTCATTTAGGTATTCAATGGCTGCTTTCACATTATGATGGCAGGGTTGAAAGGTTGCCGTGGAGACTGTGTGGCCTGCAAGGTCTAAAATATTTACTATTTGACTCTTTTTAGAAATTTTGCTAATTTCTACATTAGAGTATAGTAAATACTCTGATTTGAAAATACATGCACATCTCATTGCTTTTGCATTTATCATCACATCTCCCTATTTTCTCATAAAATACTCATTTTTCTCTCTGTAATGATTTCTGTAGTTCATGTAAATTATTCTTTGTACTGTGTACATGATGCATCTTACTTTGTTTACATTATTTTCTGTACCTTCCTCCTGTCTATCCCTCACTTGCTTCTTCCTGTGTCATTCTGATCTTATTAAAGCTTCCCAACTTTTTGGTCGCCTAGTGATACTCCATTGTATAATCTGGAACCCTGTGAACCACTGCCTTTTGATGTGGCGCGATTCCGAGGCCTGACGGCTTCTGTGTTGCTGGACCTCACATATCTGACTGGTATTCACGAAGACATGGGCAAACAGAGCACCAAGCGACATGAAAAGAAACACCGACATGAGTCTGAGGAGAAAGGGGATGTTGAGCAGAAAACCGAGAGTGAATCTGCTGTAGATACGCGAGCAGGCTTAACATCTGATGATGTCAAAAGTCAGGGTACCACAGCCTCCAAATCAGACAACGAAATAGCTTCATTTTCTTTAGATCCAACACTGCCAAGTGTGGAATCCCAACATCAGATAACAGAAGGAAAAAGAAAAAATCACGAACACATATCCAAAAACCATGACATAGCCCAGTCGGAAATCCGAGCAATCCAGCTGTCCTATCTCTACCTCGGTGCTATGAAATCACTTAGTGCTCTTCTTGGCTGTAGTAAATATGCTGAGCTGTTGCTGATACCAAAGGTTCTGGCTGAAAATGGCCATAACTCAGACTGTGCAAGCTCTCCAGTCGTTCATGAAGATGTGGAGATGCGTGCAGCCTTGCAGTTCTTGATGCGACACATGGTGAAGCGAGCAGTCATGCGGTCACCCATAAAGAGAGCATTGGGATTAGCTGATCTGGAACGAGCTCAAGCCATGATCTATAAATTAGTGGTCCATGGGCTCTTGGAAGACCAGTTTGGGGGCAAAATTAAGCAAGGTATGTTACCTGCTTTTTTTTTTTCTTTTGTGTCGTTGAAATTATTTACAATGTCAGATATGATATATTCCCTAAGTGATTTATAAAAAAAATTTTTTTTAATAAAAGTTTTCACATTGTTTTTCCTTTGCAAAGCAAACAGTTCTTTTTTGTTTCTTTTATATTAATAATTATCTGTCTACTTATAATTTTCTATCTTAAACCTACACAAGCATAGAACTTAATAATCATTATTATATTTTGTAAAACTTAACTCATGCCGCAAAAGGTACTCAAATATTTATTGATCTGAATCGAGATGTATATTATTCTGATAACTTCTCAGAGATGTTTTATTTTATTTATTTATTTATTTTAAATTTTATTTTGTTATTCACCATACATTACATCATTAGTTTTTGATGTAGTGTTCTATAATTCATTGTTAATGTATAACACCCAGTGCTCCATTCAATACGTGCCCTCCTTAATACCCATCACCGGGCTAACCCATCCCCCCCCCCCCTCCCCTCTAAAACCCTCAGTTTGTTTCTCAGAGTCCATAGTCTCTCATGGTTCGTCTCCCCCTCCG